GATATATAAGATTACTTACGTGAACATTAGTTTGATTTCCTTTAGAATGTCTCAAAGGACGTTTCAAATCAGATCAAATTAATAAACTGAAAGGCGTCTGATCCTGTATATTCTATACTGTAAAAGTTCCTTAAAGTCTAAGGCGTTTACTTCTTATAACGTAAAGGCGTTTTCTTATGATTTATCATAAAAAAGCAAAGCATACAACGCCATATCGCTCAAATATCTTTTAGAATAAACTCTTATGACACATAGAAAAAAATTAGGAAAAAAGTAAACGAAAGCTGTGGTCGTGGAGGGGAACAAAATATAATTCATCGCTTGGCAGTAATTGGCCAAAACATCCATAACCCCTCCAGAAGCAATAAGCTCTGTCGTTCTGATATATTGTTCTGCGCGACAATACGCTGTAGGAGCTGTTTCACTATACAGTATTGTTTCCAGCATTATTGCTCGACTTTTTGTTTCTTTTCCTTTTCTTTCTTCCTGGCCTGAAGTGGAGTAATAGCGCAGTTTATGAAACGAGCAGAAACATTTCAGTGTACTACTCCCTGCAGTTTAAAACACGATTTTATTTGAAAGCATTATTGGTAGGACTTTTACAGGAAAGCATAAACAGACAGCTGTTGAATTATAATAGTTGTTTTTCTTTAAGTCAGAAATTACGCACAAGAAATTCCTGATATATAACAGTTAACTATTCAAAATATGAAGAAACACGTAAAATTGAAATCTCTTTCCTTGTCGCATGTCTGTCAAATTCCATTATGTATACAGTTGTTAAAAGAAAGGAAAAGTCAGAGCTTGAATGATTGTATGTAATTGAATCCCTAGGAAGGCCTTAACAATTCTCATTCCCTATATATATTCCCCCTTCCTTTATTCCCTATCTATATATATATAATGTGAAATAAAATAATTATAACTAAACATGTAAAGGAATATGAGCAGAAAAAAGAAATATAAATTAATGACATTTAACAGTAAAAATTAAAAAATTATTTTTTATCAAAATTATAAAAGTTAACAAATTGTAAATATCACCATAGTAATGCTAGTGAACAAAACGACAAAACAAACTTTTAATACAGAACAAATGAAAAGGAAATAAAAATACATATATAAAAACTGTATTATCACACTTTGACTTTCTCAAGAGAAGGTCAGTCATTAAGTAGATTAAGTAACAGTACCTCTTTTTCGGCTGTACTTTTTTTTGGGGGGATCTGTACGCTTAAAATAAACGAGATACTAAATAAATAAATGTTTTTAGTACTTCTAAAAATTAAAAGTGCATCTATAAAAAAAGACTCCGCTTCTCAATTTTCATAAAAATGTTAAATGCAACGTATAAAACTTTAAAAAAAACTGTAAAAAAGCTATAAGGTATATAGACAAATCTGGAACATAAATTATTCATTTATGTTACTAAAATTAACAAACTAATAGTTAATAATCGCATCAATAACATTACAGTGGAAAAGCAATTACAAAATCAATGAAGAAAAGAAAATTAATATTTAGATACTGGGGTGAAGATATATATTTATATAATATTTTTTAACATTTTTTGAATTTTATTGTACTAAATATAATTGCTCATATTAATAGAATTTTTCCAAAATTACTTCCATAATTATTTCAAGGTGCTTGCTATTTTTAAACAGTTAAATGTATGTAGAGACATTAGGTAACCAGGAGTCATGAAAAAGGAGCAATGCCCTCGACGGGGCTCGAACCTTGGACCTCTCGAAAACGTGACGAGCGTGCTTGCCATTACACCACGAAGGCATGCTAAGAAGGCGGGAGAAATACAAACTAAAGTGCAGAATCGCCCACTTATTTGTTTGGGGCTTTTTACAAGAGTAAGAAGAATTGGATTTTTGTCAATTTTCTTTGACTTTTTAAGTGAAAATAGGTCTATGAGTACATGGATAAAGTTAAAGGAGTGCAAAATGCCATTTTTGTACAATTCTGGGATTTTTTTAAGTGAAAATAGGTCGATGTGTACATGGATACCGAGTAGTGCAATTCTTAAAAACGCGCCAAGCAGTGAGCGATTCTGCACTTTCCCCGAAATACCTTATATTTGTACAGCTTTTATTCTCTTGAGAAATTATAGAAAAAATATTAGGAAACGATAGGTTAAAAATGTTAAATGAGAGCCTGATTACACTAAGCAAAAGAAATCACTAATTATTAATGAAAAGGAAAGTATATAAAAAATAAACAATACATATACGTACTTTAATCCTTTACTAATACAGATTATTTTCTAACTGTGATAACAATAAAGGTTACAGATATAAATGTTATGAAGAAAAGTTTCTGTCACGGTACCAATGTTATATAGAAGTTTCGTGAGAATTCAATCCCAAGGAAAAAAAATTCTTATCTGGTAAAGACGCCTGGCACCAATGTTATATCTTAAATTTCCTATATTTGTTAAATGTTAAGTATGAAACTACTTGCCGTGAAAGGTAGTGATCGTATAGTGAAACGTGTACAGCATTTTTGCGTTGTGAAAAAAAATGCATCCCGGGACCGCGCCGTGAGAGGATCGAAAACATAAAACATATACAAGATATAAGGAAAAGTTCATATTAAATATATAAAGAAAACATACTGTAATAGTTTTCCAGATTAAATATCAGTTTATTCAATTACATCACAATATGAAAAATCTTAACCTCATCTGAGAGTTTACTTTAGAGTTTAAATCTTTCATTTAAATTCATAGAAAAAACTTAAGGTTTGTCTGGTAATTTAAAAGAAAGGAAAGGGAAACAATTTATGGCCTGAGAGTTAAATTTTAGATTCGACGTTGTTTTTACTGCTAAGGACGTTTTTGAAAAACTTGCCTAAAGTTCAAACACACCAAAAAAAATAAAACTTATCTTGAGGGGACATCTTGAAGCGGAGGACTCTTATCTTATCAAGCGTTGATGTCGGCCGGGCTCATCTTGACACTGGTTCTAAAAATGTAGACTCCACTTCACCACTGTAGAACAGAAACAGGAGCACTGCTGCCCAGGACGGCTATCCGCTTGGTCCTGAAAGTCCTATGTCAACACGCAGGTAACTCGTTCAAATTTCGCCTCTTTACCAGCACGCCGCAAGGAAGAGGGTTTTCAGCCTCAGGTCAGAAACGTTTTTTCTAGGCAATTACGGCTCGCCTGTTCTTACTCATCCCAAGAGCAAGCTTCACGAGTAACGTCCCAAGTAAGTTCCACCCGCCAGTCAGTAAGAGAGAGAATCCAACTCGAATTTCCTTCAAGCCAGTTTTCAAGAGCAACGTCCACAAGTCCAGCCGGCCCGAAAGTCAGCGAGTCCAAGAGTGAGTAAGTAAGAGAGTCTCGCCTCTTAACCAAAACGCGGCCGGGGAGCATATTTGCCGCTCCCCGCCGGAAAACATCTCTCTTCGTAATTACATTTTTTCCAGCAAGCCCGTAAGTCCAGCAAGCCCGAAAATCAGCGAGTCAGTCAGAGAGTCAGCCAAAAAGTGAATCCAACTCGAATTTCCTTCGTCTCCTTCACAAAAACGGGCTCCCACTATGGCTTCACTTATCGCCCCCTTAATTATGGCAAAATCTTCGTTTTCAACTCCAGAATGCGGAAATAAGGGTGATCGCGCATGCGCGCCCTTCTTCACTTAGCCAACAACCGGACCCTCAATCGCCAAAAACCTGAATGACTTACATTGAAAGACAAGTAGCAACCTTTGACCTTTCCGTCACGTACTTTTCCTCTCTTAAGGTCAACTAACAATGAAAATTCTTTCTCGAACATTCTAAAGCGCGCGAAATCATGACTTGGCGAAAATTGCCTCCCTTTCCCTGCTTCTTTCACAATGAATAAAAGTTTGTACAAGATTTACAAATAGAAGAAAATAAATAATACATTTTAAACTAAATAATATTTCCCAGAAGCATCTGATTTTCCCCAAAATTAAAGCCTTAAAATAAATAATTCATAATCAAATAAAAATTAAGTTTTCCATAAATCATAAAATCATTCACCAAATTTTTATAACGCTATCAGATAATTTCTCTACATAACATAAAATTATCAAATGGTATTCTTGTAAATTCCATTAATTAGTTCGTAGTAATAAGGTAAAGGTGTTACTACTGCTCGCTTTCAAATCGTAGAGTTTGTTAATAAGAAATTTGCACGTTTTACAAATCATGAAATAAAAATAGCGTTGCAAACATTAAATATACTATTATTGTTATAGAAGGTTTTCTTCTGACGTTGAAGAAAACACGCGTTAATGTGACGTCATTGTATGTCGAAACTTTTTCGTTAATGTCAGTATTTTAAATAAATAGCCGTTGTTGGTAACTTTTTTTGTTTCAGATTACGATAATTGACACGGTATGTTATTGCCACGCTAATTCTTTTATTTATATAGAGGAAAAGTTGTTATCTTACATTAAATTTAATTCACGACGTCACACGGATACATATTATCCCGAAGTGTGCAAAGTTTTGTTTCCGGATTTGGCAACAAAAAATTATTTACGAATTGATTTTTACTTGGAAAGAATGAACTGATTTTATTCATAATGAAATGCTTTTATGCGCTTTCTTTTCAGGAGTACATAGAACTCATAAATTTTGCTCTGTTCGCAGCTAGCAACTCTGTGTGCGGTACATTAAATTAATAATTCATTTTATTTTTAGTTTTTCAGTACATAGAACTTATAACTATTGCTTTGGCTGTAGCCCGCTTATCTTGCAGGCTTACTCGCTAGTTAGTAATGTTAAAAATGATAATAACAATAAATTCTAACGATTAAAAGTACTATTATGAGAAATAATATTTAATAATAAAGATCGGTAACAGTTAATAATTAGTATCAATAATATTATGTCTCAGAACGCTTTTGCTTTTCCGAGAAGAGGGACACAACAATTTCCTTTGGAATGCATGGTATGTTTCAATAAAACCAGTCATATCTAATCTGACACTTTAAATTCTCAAGCTTCGTTTTTACCTGTTATTCAAGTAGCAATTTCATGTCGATATCATGTCTCACAAACCACATGTGTTCAGCAATATAGTCATGAGAATTTTCTCCCTGAAACAAAGAATCAAAATCATGGCCTCGAGAAGTGTCAAGTTATTATAAAGATGAACTATACTTAAATGGAAGTTTTAACTTATCGTGTTTCTCTTTTGTATCATTAAGAAAGTAGTTTATCTTTCAATTCATGTCACTAAAATCATACTGTGATTAAATCTCAGTACGCTCCTATAACTGTACTCGTAAAACAAGAATTAGAATTAGAGATTGCAGCTGATATGGGATTATTACAGTCTCAGAGAGTGTATAGATATGTTACGGAGATATACTCACTTTCTTAATGGACTAATGCAATGGTCTCGAACTCGCTGCCTCGAGGTAATCTTATTCGTCCCGCGAATACATAATAATGTAGTATTTGTTGCACATACAATGCTTGTACCTTTAGAGACATAAAGTTACAGACTCAGCTTATGTGGCAATTGCTACTGAAAGACAAAAGATAGAATGAATAAGTTTCAGCTTTGTTACTTACTTGTACCCCAGGACACTTGACTAGGGTAAGATGAAAGAATTTTTCATTTTGGTATTAGTCAGTAATTTTTTTGGCTTTGTCAGCCCTGGCAGTTTGGTGCCGCTTCATTATTCTTTATGAAATTTCCTATTTTACAGTCTAGGCAAAAGTAAGTTATTTTGTGATTAATGCAACATATTGGAATTACCTGAAATAAATGTCAATCTAAGCTTTAACATTTAGCTGCCAGTGTGTTTAAATCGCATTACCTAGCTAATCTGCAAATTAATTGATTTGCTTCGTTAAAGTGCAAAATTAAGATTTTTCCGCATTTAACCTAGGTAATGCGCACATTAACGGCTTCCGTATCGTTAAAGTTCAAAAGTTTGTTTCTTTCATTTCCTTTCCCTCCCCCTCCACTTTGCACATTACCTGCTAGACACTCGCTAGTCTGTACATTGCTTACTAGTCAAACGGTCGCTAAACTGAAAATAAAATCTTTGCTGGAACAATACGAACGTTTCTGTACGCTGAAATAAACATAATGTTATTTATTTAATGTTCGATATCTAAAACATCAAGTAATTACAATCCAACAATCAAATTAGTTGATAGAATTAATCTAAAACTATAATACAAAGAAGAAGACGGTTTAAAATATTATTAGAATTAATGAACTAAATTTGCAAAGCATATGATAAAAATATGCTTACTTATTAATGCAATCTAAAGATTGGTCACACTTTGAATTACATAGCAGTTGAGTTTTGCGACAATCACATCTATTTGTGATGCATTTAAATTTATAGTACGATTTTTCTGAAGTTTATCAGAAACATCCTGTCCTATCAACAGTTTAAAAGTAACGTGGCAGCTGTTATAAGCGTACAGAAACACTACTGTTGTTCCAACAAATATCTTATTTACACTTTAACAAGTGCCTAGTCGGTAATGTGAGATTACCTAAGTAATTAGAGAATTTTGGGCACTTTGACGAATCACCCTAGTAAATCTGAAGATTAGCTAGATAATCTGCAGAATAACTGTTTTCCATACTTTAACGGTATAGAAATGTTTCGCTGGTAGTCTAGACCTCAGACCTTTAGACTTAATAGAATGTTTTTTTTAAATTGAATTTGTCCTTTGTGTTATTATTATTATCTATATTGTTTATGTATATTTTGATAAATAAATGAAATCAAAAATTCAGTTTAAACTTTTCTTTTTAAATTTTGTTAAAGGAAAGGTAGTGCATTCGGCCTACATGTAGTTTGAATTTGAGATCAATGCTCCGAAGAATGTCTTGAACAACAGTAGCTCAATCAATTACAGAGCTAGCGACATCTTTTACACTTTTTGGTAAGCATTGGCGATGGACATTTTTGTTGGATGTTGCTAAATATAAATATCTTTTTCTGCTAGGACTGAAGTTAGACAAGATTCGCCAAGTTAAACTGCATATTGCAAACGTTAAGCTAGATTTTTTATACTTTTAGGCAATTTACCGCGGTTTTGTGATATAAATATAATTAGTGATTTACATATAGCAAAACGCACGTATAAAAGGATTTTCGTTGCATTTTAAATAAAAGGCTTAACATGAAATCATTCCTTCACTAATTATATACAGTACATTATTATTTCTTCGACCTTGAATTTCCATGTATACTAGTTGCTTTTCAAACATTGTTCCTCGTCGTCTTTCATTCATAGAAAGGTCATTTTTGAAACAAAGCAGCGTTTTCCTTTTTCTATTTTACTATAATTTTGTTGTGTTAATCATTCCTCCTATCTCCCCTAGGATTTCACTAGTTTGACTAAACTTTGTAATAGATATACCCTCATATCAAGCTTCTACATGAATCACGGATATTGGATATTTTAAAAAGTCAATAACAAGCCTTTCACATGGAACACGAAAAGTTAGTTACAGCACCGGTCTTTCCATCATTTCCACTGTTTTACTACCTAATACGATTTTTTCATTTAATTCTAAACTCCAAACTGTGTGAACAGTTTAACCTGGTAAGAAATCAACTCTTGTATCCTATACTTGAATGTTAACTATTGAAGTCCTTTTAATATTAAACTTATATAAAACTATTGTGTACCAAGAGAATCAAGTCTTGTTATGAAATTCACATTAATTTCTGTTGAGATAAATTAAGAGTAAAACTAACAATGTTATGTTTTAGAGAATGAAATATAAAATTTATGCAATCGATATATCCACAATGTTTTAAGACTGAAAGCATTGAAAGTAAAGGTTTCTGGAAACCTAATTATCTTTATTAATAATTTTACATGTTTCCTTCTTATGTTGCACATCTTTTAGTACGTTTATGAAGATTATGGATTCCCTGTAAGAGTCAAATATTTGAATATTATTTAGGTACCTAGTTTCGTTTTCATAAATTCCTGAATCAGATAGTCTCTTTCAAAACTAAATTAAATTTAGAGGCAAGAATGTATACAGCAAAAAGTACATCTAATATCCATTGGTATATTTAATAAATTGTAATTTTTCTAGGCAATAAATTGCTTGATGATTGTTGCATTGAGTGAAGAAAATGTTACTGTTGTTCGTTGCCAAACTTTTAAATTTATGCTACTTTATACCAACTGAATAAAAGCATATAAAGTTCTTTTAAACTTCTTCCATAAATACACGGCACTATAAAAAAACAAGATTCATTTATAATCATTGGTGCTAGCTGACTTATTGTAGCTGCAGTGAGTTTAGTTGAAAACAATTCTGTCTTAACATTTTACAAACACACTTTATATGTCTCATAAATCAAAGATGAATGATCTGATCTAAAGGGGAATACAAATTTAACCTTCCCAGTTTAAAAATCCCAGTTTAAATCAACCGTGCAAGTTTAAAAATGTGAATTCTAAATGAAACTCATCTTCCGTGATAAATAAGAGTTTTCAGCAAGTTTAATATTTTAGTCTACATTTCTCGCATTATAATCTTATTATTATTTATGTGTACTTTCATCAAAATGAATGACCTGCTAAAAGATGTTGCAAAGATTAGAAGCAACGACGTATTTAATTGAGAATTCCTGCTCGTTTAATCATTCCAAATTACTTCAACGGAGTTCAACTCGTGTGAAATGCTCTCTTGTTGGCTTACAGCCAATTTACTAATCAAGGAACCAGCTGCTGATAATTACTCGCTTTATTGCACAATCATAACTCATGTGATAACTGAATGGGTAATTTAAAACTTCTTCGACATGTGAGAGACAGAATTAAACTTACTTTAAGTTTGCTGTTTAGAACCGTGATGATAATAATTAATTTGTTCCTCCAGAATAGTTTTTTGCATTCAGCTTATCCTATCAAAATTCAGGAAACTATTTTCTCTAAATTTAGTCTAAGGTGTGGTTTAATTTTTGTTTCTATTTCTAACCCTATTTTGCTCAGAAAGTTATCTTCTTTGCATGATAACTAAATATATGGACTGATTTCAGTAACATACAGATAAAAAATCTCACGTAAACCTCTATTTGCCGTTATTCGTGGAATTTATAGTAAATTTCAAAATTAGCAAATCATATCCTTCGTTATTTGCAGGCTCCAAATAACTCTTACTTTACAACAAACCTTGAAAATCTTAAACAGTTAAAGAATATGTCACCAGGATTCTCATGTTCTAGAACTGGAATTGTAACTTCATAATGTTTTGCTTGTGAACGATGGAAAAGAACAATCACAATTTTAATATTTCAGTGAAATGTTTAAATCCAAAGCTGTAAGTAAGTCTCTCGTTTCATGCTTTGAAAAATGTTGTTATTATTTAATTTCTTTCAACAAAACTTCTGTTCCAGTTTTAAATCACTCATAAATTTTACAAGAAGAATAAAGAAACAAGGAACTGAAATTAAAACTCTGGTACATATAAGTATGAAAGGAAGTTTGTGAATCCTTCTTCGTCGGAAAGTTGCAAAGAATTCTTTACACCGAACGCTACACTATCCTTTACTGTTTAAAGAATAATACTTATACAATTGTAAATATGCTTTCTCTTCTTTAATGAAACATAAAACTATGGCAACTGAAGTGGTGAGGCGGTGGATGAACGAGTAATTAAGGAGGCTGGGGAGAGGAGAAGATCTAATTTGAGCAGCAATTCCATTTAAAAGCCTCGATTTCCTGGTGGAAGTAGCACCCGGACAGAGGCGAGTGATTAATATGGAGTCTGTCAAGAGCAGGCTGTTGGGTTTGTGGTCGACGTCCAAAAGAGTAACGAAGGGAGACTTCCCAGGGGAGAACTTGTCGAGAAGCTGAGAATTTATTTGCCAGAAATGGAGAGGATGTTAACGCGTAGGGTGGAGATGTCAAATTTCTTCTCCTCTTCTAGACACTAAAGCCACTTCTTAGTTTTACGCCACTTACGAATTGTTTCTTCAGATAGACAAGAAGGATTAGAAGAATGAAGTCTGGATTACTCATAAGCTCTTGGTCATTAATAAGAAATCTTTCATTATAGGTACACTGCATTTAATTTGTTACTAAAATGGCCTGTTTTTGCAAATGTTTTAGAAAATTTACAAAATTTAAGTTCTAATAATTACAAATTTCTTTAGAACTATTTATTCAAAATTTGTTATTTTGAAGACGTAATACAGGCGTAATAAACTTGGAACATTTTGTTTGCAAATTGGAGCACTGAAAATGTTTCATCTAAGTTAATCACAATTTTAGCGTCTGTGTTTATTTATGTAATTATATACTATACACATTTTTACTTAAGTGTCTGCTTTTTAATGAATACAGTTTGGGTTTTATTATTTATACTGCCTAGCAGTTATTCTGTATGGTGACATTACAAATAATTTAATAGTTACTTAATACAAACTCAAGAATACTTATATGATAATAAAAATAATGAACAGTGTTGGATCTACCTGTACTACCTTTGCGATTAAACAATACTGTGTGTTTAAACAATACTGAAAGACGTTTGAAAAGTTTCTTAGCTCATTAAAATAAAGCACTCGAGAGTCGTTTGCTTGAAGGATTTCTTCCTAAAACTCTTTTTGAGAGAAACCGGCTCGCATTTACGTTACACGTTAGAAAATCCACAATAGATATGCATAGAGCCCTTTCTCCGACACCTGAGCCCAAGTCGAACAAGCAGTGTTCAGCGGTCTTAACCACTCGGCCATTAGTGGTAACTAAAAGATGCAGTTAGTGCAACAGGTAGTTCAGATTTAAGACATTATCGTATCGTGAGTTTTGAGGAAATTAGTGAAGTTCTTTTTTTTCTCTGATGAAGAGGGACCTGTACTTGTTTGCCGGTTTGAGGTTCGACTAAATACAAAGTTGTTGCTTTGCTAATTTTATGTTTTATTTTCCTGTGTTTCTCTTCTGTTCAGTAGGATTTCCCCTCCCGTTAGAACGTTTTAGCTCAAACTTTCCAAATTCTTTATCCGTTACGACAGTGGTCGGAGACTCAAATTGTATGCGGGCCAAATGCTTGATCTGAGGGGCCAAAACTTTTCATTTCAAAAAATGAAAATTTTATTAATAAAATAAAAATTATTTTAAATAAAATTACTAGATATTTATCAAAACATTCATAAAAATATTAATAACCTCTCAAAGGGAAAAAAATTCAAATTTTTATTTACAAATAATTTAAATACAAATTTAGAAGTAATTATCAAATAAATTTAAATTTATATTCAAATTTATATAAATTTATATTTAAAAAATTTATTCAGATAGAAAATCTAAAACATAAAGTTTGGGACATATGAGAATTTTTATCGGTTTTTGTACAGAAACATATCGGGAGCTAAATATTATATTTTCAGACTGACATTTATTTCAGACTTCCTTTATTTTTATTTCAGACTTCCTTTATTTTTATTTCAGACTTCCTTTATTTTTATTTCAGACTGATATTTATTTGTATTTTATGAGCTTAATTAATCATTAAGTAATTTACTGGAATTAAACCAAAAATAAACAAAACATAAAAACGTTTTGAGTCTTCTGAAAAAATTTTCATGTGGGACAAAACTTGAGGATAAATAATGATAACCGAGTCACTTTTCTTACTTTTACTAAATTTTTCTTCAACACATAATAAAGATACGCATGTTTGTATATAAATAATTCTAAGCTTCTTCATTTCTTAACTGCAGGTTGACACTTGATGGCGTTTCGATTCTGATGTTTTTTGTCTTGGAGAGAAATTGCTAGAAATTACGTTCATCACGAACTGTAGATGCTGATCGATCAATTGGGTTCTTTTCTTATTAATTTTTAGCTGTGAAAAAAAAACCTGTTCACATTTAAGTATATTCTCAAACAAATCGACTATTCTGAGTGCAAAAATTCATAACCAAGCTTATTTATATTTTGACTTGTACGAATAAAAGTTAATAAAATCTGCATCTTCAAATGTTTGAGTAAGATTTGTATTGCACTGCAGATTAATTAGTTTTTGGGCCATACATAATTGCTCCGAGGCCGCCTGTTTGAGATCACTGCGTTGCGATACTTCAAGTTAAGCTAACGGATACATGTTACTCAACAGGCTATTTATTAGCCACATGAACTTTTATCTTTGGACCAGTCATTGAACGAGGCTTGTCAGTACACGAGGCCTCTCAGTACACGTGACTACCCGAAGCGTGCCCCAGAGTCCCGAGATTTCCCCCAAAAGCTGAATTTCAGATGAACTTTTAATATAAAGCTTTAATTTTTCTTCGATAAGCTGAGCTTAAAACAGTTTTCCATTAGCATTTCCATAGCTGTCCAAATAGTCATAGCAGTACGGGAGACACAAAAGCAAATAAAAGTTCCAATATCTAAATGAAATTGAAACAGAATATATAAAACAAATATTATTAAGCACTAAAACTGGAATGGGAAAAAAAATAATGGCCAGCATAAAAAGGAAATCATTAATTAAAAAAATAACAACATTTATTGGGAGAATTAAACAGTAACAACATATCTCGAAGTAATTTCGAAACGAATTATTCGAAACGAATATTAAGTTTTTATATTTTTCTAAAAAAAACCGAAATTAAGAACAATAAATATAAAGAAACAACAGAAGCCTTTATATAGAAGGTTCAGTGCACAAGTGGTACAACTTCACTTCCGTGTATAGTATACATCCATAGGTACAAGGGAAGAAACTTATAGAAGACAAGTGTGGAATCAGGAATCATCGAAACATATACTATAGCATTACCTGAATTCGAATATTCAATGGGCCATATTAATAATTTAATCGCCATAACTGATAATTTCACGGTATTAATGACTTTATTTTTTGTAAATTTTTTAAGTAACTAAACTACTAAATTTAGTTTATTTTAGATGCAAATGGCAAAATTATTTCTGAGCACAAAATCCGTTCCTTTGTTTCATAATCAGAAATAAACTTGACAATCATGATAATCAGAAACGACTATAATTAAAGAACTCTCTGTAAGTAAAATGCATTTTCTTTACTTTAAATGCTGTAGGCATACTACAAAAGGACCGTAAACTAAAGTTATTATTATTTTTTCACTCCGAACTGTAGTTGCAGTTCAAGCATTTATGTAAGCTACACATAAAATCTGCAATACATGGAAACTGAAACAAAATAAGGTGATTATTAGAAGATGTAACTTAGCTACAAAAGAAAGATTAACATCTTTCAAAGCAGAGGAAGTAAGAGAACCGATGAGCTTATTAAAAGACACAAACTGAAGCGGCTCCCAAGATGTAGCATGTATTGCCAAACTCCGTATGGAACGTACAAACAGTTATAAATTAATTTCTGTATCCTCTCTTTACTTAAATTAACATTAAACACAAATAGGAAAGTGGTAGTAATAAACTATTAGTTCATAAGTCAGCAACATATTTACCTTCACAACGAACAGACTTCAACTGGATTGCATTCGGCACTCGTAAGAAGCATATTTAGTAATCAGATCACTGTAAGAGAATGCAAAACGACAGCTCCTTTTAAAGTACTGGAAAACATTTTCGTTAATAAAATAGGTATTCCACACAACAGTATTTCAAAATTATTGATGAACATTAGTTACAATGGATAAAAATGAGATGGCTACGATATTAAAAATACAACATTAGTTAATACGAAATTTAAAGTAAGTTACAAATAAAAATATAACTTTTATGAAGGGATTTCCACAAAAGTAAACAAAGAAGGCTTTAAAATTCAGTGACACCGAAACAGGGGGAGGAAAAAAAACCTTGTAAAACCTTTGCAACTTCCTTCATAAAATTCAAAGCAAGGAGATCACAAATTAATTATCCATCACCCAAAAGGGAAGAATTCAACAATAAACATTTAGAGATTTATAAAATATGATTATTTCTTTCATCCTGTAATGTGCGGCATCATACACTGCTTCACGGTGTGTTAAAAACACTTCTACTTTACCCATTATGATGAGATCGAAAATATGTTAAGTCTTTCCTCTGCCATTCTATTACGGTAAGTCTGGCCATTACATGGCGTAAAGAAACGAAAAGGGATTTGTACTTCATGATTCCAAAGAATCTTTTTGCCTTGAAGTAACGCAGCAAGGTAATAGAGATTATTATACCAAACTTCGTTATCGCGGAGAGAACAGTCATTAGAATGGATTAACACCGGTCACAGGAACTTAGCGCCCACCGATTCCAATAATGAGCTTTATTTCCTAATTTACAATCGCCGCAGCTCACCGCTATGCGAGATCATTTCCTGCTTTTCCCATCCTCTTTGTTATATATAACTGTTTCCCCCAATCGGGAACACCATCTAGGATACTTTTCATTGAAAGTTATTTTTGGCACAGATATACATATAACATAGACACGCGACTGTAAGATAAAATTAGAAATCGAAATCTGAAATTTGGATACATACTTCCACTTTTCCTACCTGTTCAAATGCTAATAAATGAAGGAAGTATTTTAATTGCGATGTAATTCTTTCGACATTAAGTTATGCAAATGAGATTTATTCCAAGATAAAAGAGCTATACTAAAGCTGAGTTTCGTATGAATTAAAAGTTTCACAGGTTTCACAGTATCAGATATCTACGCAGATAGGTTTTATAATGGATCATAGGAAAAATCTAAGTTTCTTGGTATCAAGAATCATTGCTTTTGATCTGTTATGATATTTCTTGACTGAAATGCCTCAAAATAACGGAGCTACAGGCATTAAATAACCTCATTGAGCTATTTTAATTCTTCGTTAAACTATTTCTACTGGGAATTAGAGCTGAAGGAAATGAACTGGCGAAACTAAAATTTGACTGAACTGCTAAAATTTCCGTCTCTGATCTCAGATCTTTAATCTTTGATCTTAAAGATCGAATATTTTCCGTCTTTGAACCTAAATTTGAATTTGATTCAGCAGAAGTGAAAACTAGTAACGATGCAAGAGCGATAAAAATTTAATAAATTATACTGTTGCGTGCGTACGGGTTCGTTATGAAATGAATGCACAAGTCCGATGAAAAATGAACAAAAAAAAATTTATTATTATCACAACAAAAAAATGCTTAAATTTTCTTAAATTATCATGCAGTATTACAATATCTCACAGTAGTTATCTTTTAACTACTCAAATGTCCAATAGAACGCAATTAAAAACAGCTAAAGAACGCTAATCCGCGAATTCGCTACAATCAACAAGAGCAGTTTTCTAAACAACAACAAACTAAGCAACTACTACAAACTGAGATGTTTTCCTCCTTTTATAAGATTTTAAAATCACGCGCTAGAATTTTCCAGTACTTTCTCGAAATCAAAAAGAGATATTATTTATTTAATGCACGCGCTCTTGTAATTTTCAATTTTACCGGCTTAGCTTTCTTTTAATATTCGTCACGCGCTGCACTGCGCGAGAAATAAAATCATTTAATTTGTAATTGAACTAACATTAGCTTTTTAAATACCAAATTCGTAACACTGCCCCCTTCCCAAGGACTGCACGTCCCGGGCAGTACAATCCCTGGACAGGAAGCTAAAGCTAAACTTACAACTGTGGCATAAATGCATTAATAAGCATTACATTACAATAATAAACAACATGAACAATAAATGCAATACATAAAACAAATCAAATACACATTTAAAAACAAAACGGACCATGGTCTTATACTATTTACAATTATTTACATTATGTACTATGGCCATAGTAATGAGCTAACCTGTCGTAAGAGTTCGAAGACTCACGGATCCGAACCATGACGTCATTTAGCTTGTTTAGGATTGTGTGCGAACCATCCCAAGGTGACTGTAAATCAGGCCTGACTCCTTTTCGTCGAATCGGGTTCCACAACCACACCTTGTCTCCTTCGTTGGATCTATGTCCAGCAGCTCTCGTGTTGTATCTGGTCTTCACTTTCTCCGTCGCCAAGTTCACTCGCTTTCGTGCGGAACGGTGCATCACTTCAAAACGGGCCTTGACATCTTGGATGTGTTCCTCAGGCGATGAAGGCGCATCCGTACGGCGATGAAACAGGCGGTCACAAGGCAGACGAAGGTCTCGACCGAAGAGCATCTGAGATGGAGAATAGCTGGTAGTCTGGTGTTTCTTTTCGACCCTAGCATGATTTCGGCTGTTTCTCGAGCTGGTTCTTTCGGACAAAGCGTCGGCATTTCCAGGTGAGGATCCCTTCTTAGGATGGATAGTCATGTCTTCAGATCCTGAAAGCAGTTTGTTGTTTTTCAAGTCTAAGGAAAAATTGTATTTCCTTAAAAAGTCCAATCCGAGTATGCATGGATCTGTAATATCCGCCACATATGCCGTGTGATGGTAGGCGGCACTTCCAAACGTGATGTTTACGTTTAACTTCCCAGTTATGTCGATCTTGTCACCAGACGCAGACTGAAGGGTAACACAGGATGGCGTCCAAATAAGTTTATCTTTAAATTGTTCAGCTAAATCTTTCCTAATGATGGTAACATTAGCTCCTGTGTCAATGATCATACTGCAAGGAACTCCATCGATATTCCCATTGATGGACAGTCCGTTATTGTTGCCACTCACTGTATAAATTTTAAGAGCTTTAAAACAAGGTTTTTCACTATCTGGCAACCTCCGTTCCTCGATATGGTCACTAATTTGTTTACTGCGTTGTTGCTGGGAAATGGTCTTATTTTCCGTACCTCGGGGTGTGTTCTGCAGTTTCTTCGTATGTGGCCTTCAACTCCGCAGTTCCAGCACTTTAGAATTAGTTTCTTTTCACTTCTGTTCCGTCTCAAGCCACTGACTTGTCTGGTAAAATCATCTGCTTTATATTCCGTACCCTGGGGTGTTCTGCAATTCCGTCTTAGGTGACCTTCACTACCACATCTCCAACACCTTAGAGCCACTTTCTTCTCGCTCCTACTCCGTATCAAATCTTCGACTTGTCTGGCTAAATCATCTAAACGAGCCATCAGTTGATCCACTGGCTCATGGACTCGCACAGCTCTAACTGGGTAGCGATCTCTACTAGTTGCTTGCTGGGCTGCCTCGAACTTCATGGCGTACAACAGAGCGCTTTTTATGTCCTTTACATCTGCCATTCGAAGAGCTTTCTGTATTTCAGTATCTCGGATGCCGTCGATAAAGTATTGTAAGGACAGTATTTCCCTTGTTTCTGTCGGGCATTCCGAAAAGGCGAGATGGGACAGCCTTTCAACATCCGCGGCGAGCTCCTGAAGTGTTTCGGTAGGCTGCTGTTGACGAGATTTTAATTGGAGCCTGCTGTAGTCTTTTAAAACATTTCTCGCCGAAGCGCAGCTCCAAAGCGCCGGATAGAGCTTCGAAATCTAACCTTTTGTTTTTCGGGAAGAGTCTGAAGGATATCCGCTGCGTCGGCTCTTAGAGAAGCGGCGCGAGATGACAGGCCTTAGCTTGGGAATCCCATCCATTCGCATCCGCCACGATAGAAAATTGTGTCTTATACACCTGCCAGGAGGTCTTCCCATCACACGTGGATAGCTTCAGAGGTGGACGAGCAGGCATTGGTAAGAATTTAAAATCATCACTCCTGCTCCCTGCCGACGTCGCTACGAATTTCTTTAAAGTATCCATTTCTTTGGCAACTGCAGCAGAAACTCTCTCATCAATTTGTTGTTCGATTTGGTGTTGGACGGCACAAACTCTTCCTTCAATTCGTTCCTCCACAGCAGAAACTCTCCCTTCTATATGTTCTTTTACAGAAGAAACTCTTTCTTCTATTTCTTCTTTCACCGAAGAAACTCTTTTTTTCAATATGATCTTTTACGGAAGAAACTTTTTCTTCAATATGTCCAACTTTATTTTCAACTGCGTCAATTCTGCCTTCCATAGCTTCAAATTTATTTTCTATTATGCAAGTAATTTCTCTTTTCATTTCTTCTTGACCAGCTTGAACGGCTTTCATTTCGTCCTTAACGGATTCCTGGCCCAATTTCATTTCTTCCTTAACGGATTCCTGGCCCAATTTCATTTCCTCTTTAATTTCTTCTTTAAATGAGGCAAAGGCTGATATTAACTGCCTTAATTGCTCTTCCATCGCTCTTGTTATTGGCATTCAAATCCCACTCCTGACACCAAAAATTGTTGCGTGCGTACGGGTTCGTTATGAAATGAATGCACAAGTCCGATGAAAAATGAACAAAAAAAAAATTTATTATTATCACAACAAAAAAAAATGCTTAAATTTTCTTAAATTATCATGCAGTATTACAATATCTCACAGTAGTTATCTTTTAACTACTCAAATGTTCAATAGAACGCAATTAAAACAGCTAAAAGAACGCTAATCCGCGAATTCGCTACAATCAACAAGAGCAGTTTTCTAAACAACAACAAAACTAAGCAACTACTACAAACTGAGATGTTTTCCTCCTTTTATAAGATTTTAAAATCACGCGCTAGAATTTTCCAGTACTTTCTCGAAATCAAAAAGAGATATTTATTTATTTAATGCACGCGCTCT